GTTACACCCGAACTTGGCCCTTCCTCACTGGTTGATAGATATTTTTATTAAATCCAGCTTTTCTTCTCATTATAATGAATCGGTCAATTTTGTTAAGAGTATAAAATTTTCGGTTACACCCGAACTTGGCCCTTCCTCACTGGTTGATAGACATTTCAAATTTTTTTTTTCAAATCAAGCTTTTCTTCTAATTATAATGAATCGGTCAATTTTGTTAAGTTTCATAATGAATATAGCGAACGAGTTGGTTGGCAGATTTTTTGTTCCTGTATTATATAGGTATAATATAATTGGAATATTTTTACAAGGTGTAATGGAGCATTAATATATTGTTGCCATATAACAAAGTGAGGCAACTTCATCTAGAAAGGAAACGCTATTAGTATCTCATAAAATAATTATGGGAAAAACCTTTTTTGTTATTCAACATTACATATAATTAGATAATTTTTTCACAACAAATCTCTGAGCTATACTATGCCCTAAGACAAAATATGTTTATACAATTAATTACGTTAAGATTTGCAAAAAAATCCTCACAAACACAAATATTTGTTTGAAATACCCTAAAAACCAGGGTTGAACTTTTAAGATATCAAGGGTACTATTTGTTATCCCCTACCCTAACTATTAATCGTTTCTTACTGAATTAAAAGTATAAAATTTAAATTTAACATAAAAATAAAATGATTGTGTGGTTTTATGAAGCCACGTTAAAAATGAAACTTGTTTTCACATTATAGACATTTAAATAAAAATCTATTATCAATTCCATTTTCATCATGAGTTTCAAAGTTTTTAAATGTAACCAATATTTTATGGTAACTAAAACTAAAAAATAGCAGAACGGGACATTTTCACTGTTAAATGAGAAAATGCAACACACAGACGAAAGAGTTTGTGACGATGTAATAAACGTTTCACTTTAAAAAAAGGGGTAATAACCTTTTAATTTACGAATATAATGTAAATATTCCTATGAAACCGAGCGCTGTTGCTATCATGAAAGGAATTTCAAAATGAAAAGGAGTTCCGAATTGCGAAGCAGCGAGCTTTTACAGAAAGGAAGACAAAGCGTGCCACCCGAGCACGAGCGGAACGATCACTTCGTCTTTTCTCGTCATCCCCTCGCCCCGAAAACCGGTTTGCGCGGCAAAAAGAGTCTTCGTCTGAACATGCACATACATGGCTGAGTCTGACAATTTGTCAGCATAGTTTGTATAATTTCTTCACAGTTTGGTATTGAATGGTTATGTAGGAAATTTTCGACGATCAACACAAAACTTTTCCACGATTCTTTCTTTCTTTCACTTTCCAGTACAGTCGTAACTTGGATAAAATCTGTAGCTTTCATTTGCTGTATCGAATATTCCACTTTTCAGCTTTTCTATCCTAAGTTCGGCAATTTTGTACAAATGTCACTTAGCCAATATCCTTCCACGTTCAACGCTTTGACAAATTGTTTTATCATTCCTAACTTGACCCCGTATTAAATCACTGAGTTCAGTTTGAGGTAATATCTTTTTAGATTTTTTCCCTCCCTGTCATATTTATTGATAACTGTACCGATATTTGGGTATTTGGCGACATCATTGTTTCTGAGTAGTCAATGCAAATTACTTTTGAAACAAAAGCGAAATTTTCAAAGAGTAAACACAATATTTTATATACTGTAATTCTAGATATATCCACGGTGATTTTTATAAAAACTTTGTATGCCCAAAAAAGAGGTGCAATCATGACTAGAAAACTAAATTTTTACTAGTAACAAGTTGATAATTATCAAAATATTAGATATACAATTATCTTAAAAACAAGAGCACATTCGATATTTAGAAGTCATAATCTGGACACTTGAAAGAATCAATATTTGCAATATTCAGGGCAACAAAAAATGTTTGTTTTTCTAGAGCTGTGAAATCATGTAGAATTCTATCACAGTTATTATTGTGTAAACTAAAACACCACAAGTATTTTATACTCAATATATTATAATATGTTTCAATCAGTCAGTTAACGATTGAAAGTCATAAAGGTAAAGCCGTTTCCATTTTTAAGTTTCTTTCTATTTTAGATACAAGTTTCGCACCAACATGTACCCATTATAGAAATTTCTCTTGGCAAAATAAGCGGCAATGTCTAGACATCGTAGTGGTTTGAGTGGATTCACTGCTACTTATAAGTAAAATATATTTACTGTCAATGAGAATGTGATACTAGTTAGTACGAAGACCTATGAGGCGATGATATTTATGTATTTATGACTTATCAACTAAATTAACTTTAAAATTTACGCATATTCGTCTTGGTTTTTCTTTGTCGTTCGGCATTCCCAAGGTGATCGATTTGTTGGACGCCATTTCCATCTCAGTAAATTAAACTTATTGAAAGTAATAATAATTTTGTATCATAGAACTTTGATAGTGCTGCACTCAGTTTCTAAATTGTATTTTTATTTTCCCGTACTTAATTATAAAACACGTGATATTAAGGGTATTTGGCACATAAGTATTATACATACATATGTTTTTGGTACATACGTATGTACTTTCATATCAAAATAATTGCGGCATATTCACTAAAAGCGAGAAAAAGTCGAAATATCTAATACTATCGTAGGATATATTATTCTATGCCGATCGGATTAAAACGTTTAGGTAGATGGAACGATATTATAAATGCTTTGGATAACGCCAGATTATTTCGTTCAGCCAATGTATGGGCTGTTTGACGTTGAATAAGTTCACTACAGTATCGAAAGCAGTTATAGTCTATATACATACATCTAGTAAATACTCCGGAAATTCGTAAAGTTTTCTTGATGCGGATACAATTGCGTTAACTTTCCTTTGGATGCGTTCAGATTTTTATGGGCACCCCTAAGACAAGTGGAAATTTTAGTTACTTTGATTAAAGTATTGGTAATTAATGAGTGCAGAAACATATTAGAAACTTTGGTGTCGAATCAACAAAGGTTCCGCTTTTCGGTTTGACTACCGGAAGTATTTCAATATCATTGCATTTAGCACCATCATTGTGGAAGGGGTTGTTTCATTGTGTTATTACTATTAAATGGAGTCATTACGATATAAATAATGTATAATTATTCCCAATAATAGCTTATCTAATCGGTTGTTGTATAATACTGTTAGATTGATTTACGACGCTCCAGTGTCAGTATAAGACAGGGTATCCCAACCTTTCCGTGGTCAGCGACCACTTTAATATTATTCAAGCTAGTAGGGCACACAATGTATGTATAATAAAAAACTGTAATAATCAATCTTAAACTTCAATTATGAACTCAACAATAATTTACACAGAAAGCAAAAATAATATTCTTAGAACAATTCATCTTTTAAATTAGAAGCGTGAAGGTTTACTAAGTATTTATATCCAGAACCTTGTAGTTGCATATTCATTTTATTTAAGTGTGTAAAAATATCTACAAGATAAGCCAAATTCATCTGATATGCTGGATTAGTAAACTGTTTCAAGAAATCATCCATTTATAATATATTAAAGGCGCTGCTTTTGATAACATTTACAACTTGTATGGCCATTTGCAGTGTATCATTAAGGTATCCAGGAAGAGCTTAGAAGCTAATGCCTGGCGATATATGATAAAGTGCGTTGTTATTGCATTAGGGCTTTTATGTTTTACTAACGTTGTCAGCCGGGATCGCGATCCCAACATTGCCGGGGTGGTTGGCCCCACCCGACTACCCTCGCTTTTCTCACTCACTTCGCGCGACCAACGGCTCACAGCCTGTTATTTAATTATATAAAAACTTTCAATCATTCGCGGACCATATTTTTGCTTCTGCGTACCACTGATGGTTCACGGACCACTGATTGCAAACCTTTATATATTTCTTATACTTTCACATAAAAACGTATATTGCAGTTAGTGAGGCATTCTAGTGTAAGCACAATTTTTTATAGAAACAGACTTTGTAGTCACTGTATGATTAGTACTCAGAAAGATGCTAAGATTTTAACGCTTAAGTTAAAGGCACTCGAAATTGCCGAATTTTTTAGTCAACTGAGCCAGACAACAAGAACTTGTTTAAAGTAATTTGACACCATTTATTTTTATTTTGTAAAACTTAATATAAAAGCTGAATAATGAAATTGTTAAGACTATTCTATTTCTAAGATTTAAAATATTGTAAGCCAAGGAAGTTATAAACTTATTATTGTACATTATGCTGATTAAACAAGTGTATATTCACTAAGCTTGGATTAATTCAATGTTCAAAAATGCTCCTCCTCCTTCTTTGCATAAACACGACAAAAGGAATGGTTGTAAAATATTAGAGATACTTCATGGTTGCTAACAACAGTACAAGGCTTAGTGTTAAGCTTATGAAAGCAATTTCCAGTACATGTACGAGTATGCAGCGTTTTTACTTTCACTTACTATCACAGCTTCTTGTTAGTCAACCTACTTCGTCATACATTGCTACCGATTTGTCTAATAATAATTTTTTATCTTCATGAAAACATTTAATAGAAGAAGAATTTTTATTAGTCTGCTCTCAGAATTTAGGTTCAAAAAAAAATATACATGACTTGTGATTTAAGTGATTTCATAATAAATTACTATTAGAAATAGGTACCTACTATATGTTTAGCAAAAATGTTTGTTGTCTTCTATTTCAAGTACAATCGTAGGTCAAATTATTGGTTACAAAATTATTATTTTGACACCAGTTCTTTAAATTTGTTCGCTAGTTAGTGTGATTATTGATTTGTGTGTTGCTAGATATATTTTCCTTAGAAAACGGTGCAGTACGTAAGTTTCGTTAAACTTTCGTTTTCCTTTAAATACGCTTGTATATAAATATATGTATACTTAATTACATGAGGCATAATTATCCCACTTACTCTTCTTTTTATCACTAATTTAAACAACTTTGGTCTACCCTGTTTTATAAAGTATAAGTATATAACTATGTAAACATTCATATGGGTATAAAGGATCATGACATACATACCTCACATTTGACAAGGGCCCGAAATTTTCCTCCGTAAAAGTTTCTGATGTCGACCCTCGCAGGGAATCCCAGCGATCGATTTTCCTTACTTGCTGTAAAGGCAACTTGATTAAATCTTGCCTTGAACTGGCTTTCATAAAGGATTTTGATGAGCTAACACCAATGCTGAAAATACGCATTGAAGTGGAAAAATTACTTTGGAAATGCATATGGGAATTTAAAAAGGCTGTTTTACGAAAACAAAATTGAAAATAGAAAATAAAATAGTTCGCCCACTGGGTTCAGCTATCTTAAGTGCTCGTATACTTTACGTCAAATGCGTGTTTGTTGAGAAAAAGGCGATAGGACCAATAGAAAAAATTAGGTTATTTAAGGATTGTCACAAGGTATAAAGATATCAACCGCAGTAAAAATCCTGTTCTAGTACACTCAAATAGAACAACTTTTTAACCTGAGGCACGCATAAATTTAACGTTTTCATTAATATTAAATTAGCAATTGTAAATATAATAAAAATTAATATCTTACAACATGAATTACTCTTTTGAAAACAGTTTAATAGTGCTTTTTCTATTTGATTACCCGAACCTTCGTCAATTATTGGCGGTTAAAGTTATTCATTTTTTATATGTTTTTAATCTTTTTAAGTAATATTATAAGTTGTGTCAATTATAATTTTAGGATAACTATGTTATTGTTGGAGAAGGTATGGACCGAATCTCATTAATTAAATATGCTCACTTAATTATTGAAATATCTTTCACTCATACCGATATAAGCGGTATAAGGCAACCAAGGGAAGGGAATCTATTATATGGGGTCCTTGAGTGAAGGTGGAATAAGGGAACAGATTTCATCCATTTTAGACATCAAACAACGTTGTGTTAATACTAACGTTCTTACTTAAATTTATTGAAACATCGGAAACTGAGGCAACTGGATGTACTTTTCACCTTTTAAAGATCTCGTGCCAAAATATTGGTTTTTAAGATAATAAGCATACTGATATAATATATAGCACATTATTTAAGACTTCAATCTTTCAAATCTTATTCATAAACCTTAGTTTCTTATTTTATTGAATAATATTTATTGAATATCTTCCTATTTAAATAAAATAATGGCATTTAAAGATAAAGTATCTAATAAATATCAAATTCAATTGATATCGCTCTCGTTTGGTCCGATGCTTCCTCTGTGATTCAAAAATCACATAAAAGGTTTTGTGTTGCAAACAGACTTCAACATTCTAGCTACTTGATGTGATAGGAATGATATGTATATCTCTGGTACTTAACTATGATTTATAATAAAGATTGTTGAGAGTAACAGGGCTTTTCGATGTAATTCTGTATTAAATTTTTCACCATATACCATAATAGTCGTTTACTCTATTATCCACACTTGCTAGTCATTAAGATCTTCAAAATTCATCAATTTGCAGTTCAATCTAGCTTGATTCTCAGTTGCAGGCAGTTTATACCCTTACAATTAAAATCATATAAACCCCAATTTGAACAAATTTGTCATTTGGGAATGACTCGTGTAACAAGTAATATTATTTTTCAACGAATGGAATGAGTGAATTATTTTGGTTAACAATGAGTCTCTCGGTGCAATCTAAAATATCTACTGAATATTTATTTGCTTGCTGTTCATATCCCCATATTTTCAGCTCTAATGATGAATACAAATGAAGAAAGAACAAAAAAAAAAAAGAACATTTAAGTTTCCAAAATGATAATCCTCAAGCAGTCGAAATATTAACTTATGTTAACTTTCCCACAGACGGTATTTTGTATATACCTAGATGTTATAACTAAACCTAAAGTTAAGATACAAAACGGTTATTCGGTACAGGGCATCGGAGAGTGAAAGCACATCTCTGAATAAAATCAGTCTAACTCCCAACCCTTAATATAACGGTATCTGCAGTTTCTTTTCCTACATATACCCTTTGGTTGAGGTAATATCTGATTATATCTCAAAATCAATAATATATCTCAATTAAATTAAAGACTTAAGCGATAATATAGTAACCATAAAATACTCCATTATAAATTTATGTCACTTGGCCAACTTGGTCCTTACTTGCTCTGCTTAACTCCAATACCATTAATCCATTGTGATATTTTTAACATTGCTATAGGTGTGTATAAGTTTGGAAAATATGAAAAAGAAAATGATACTATTGAGGCAACAATTCAATGGCATTTTACACATACAATATTTTCGCATCCACAATAAGGAGAACTATTACCGCGATATAAGGGCCACGTACAAAGAGAAAAAAACACCAATAAATAAATATTGTTGAATAGGTTTCAAGCAAAAAAATAATGCGGCACAACAATAACCAAATCAGTTTCCAAGAGTATTTCAAATCCTTTGGCACGCATTCACGTGCGGACGGTTTTTAAAATGTATTTAGAGAAAAATCTACAACTTGGCCGTCATCCCGTTAGTTGGCTAGTAAACATACTAATCCAGGGCAAAATGCCTGTGTGCGATACAGTGTATTGCAATTCTCAAAAACTGTGTTTACTTCACAGGGCGATGTTTTCAATACCCTATAACACCTTTTCTCTAGTGGGATTTCAAACTCTTACATTTCGCCTTAATTTAGCACATTTTAAAAGGTGTTTAAAACATAGCACTTATAAACTCGTACCGAACAAAATAAAATTATTAAATTAAATTTTTTGTATAATGAGTTTTTGGTTAGCCTCAAAATATACTGGTTCAATGATAATAATGCTGGTATTCCCTGGGGACCTAAATTATTGTAATTAATTCGATCATGGGACTAGGGGTATTGTAATAAACGTAATTTGATTTCTGGAATAAAGGTTCTAAGTGAACCATTACAAAAGTCCACTTCGTAGAGCAGAGTGTTATCGAGCTGGGCAACGCGGATATAAGGGCCGTCGAATACATAGTTCTTGGTAGTTTTTGTAGGTTTTAGGTGACAATTGCATCTTAACCAGAGGACATAACGGTAACCCACGCTCTTACAGAGTTTCATTTGTAATTTTTCCATACGTTTTATTGGGGTGTTGGTGAAATGACAACAAATTACGATACCGTATTCCAAAACTGGAAGAACCAGAGATGAAAAAAAGCGTAGTAATCAGTTGGGAATCGTGAAATCCTTGGTAGTTCTAGTTATAAAACCTAACACTTTCAAAGCCTGGAGATCTTATCTTATCTTATCTTAGAAAGTATGACCAATATCGTTTACAAAAAAATTGAAGAGAGTTAGACCCAGATGTGATCTTTGGGTCACTCCTCGAATTTGGTAAATAGACGCCCATCAACTTTAACTTGAAATTGCTTTCCAATTAGATATGAGTGGACCCAACACAGTGCGTTAGTTTGAATGCCGTATCTGCTTAGTTTATTTAGAAGGATACTATGGTCCACCCTTTCAAATGCTTTGCCGTGTCCGTGTAGACGATATGAACTCCTTACCCGCAGGTAATTAACATAAATGAACAAGCTGAAGGTAGTGGACTTCCTACTGACGACACCGTACTGTTTGCTGGTGATAATATTCTTAAAGAATGCAGCGAATTGAGAAAAAAATATATTTTCGAAGAGTTTTGACGGAGCAGATTGTATATAAATTGGCCTATAGTTGGAGATATCAAACCTTGGACCATCCTTGTGAATAGGACAGACGTAGGAAGATTTCCAAGTAGCTGGGAATGTACCATTTTGGAGTAAAAAGCTTAATATTTGTGTGAGATGTTCACTGAGGCTGGTACCGCAATTTTAGTGGAAGATATTTGGCTAGCCATCCGGACTAGCGCCCTTTCTCGTATTCAGAGACAGCTCACTAATGGCAGCAAAGAGAATCTTGATTGCACACACTCTTGAAGAAGGATGCACACATATCGCTAATCTCGATGCCCGAGTCTGCCAGGACATAGTGGATGGAATATCACTATTGCTTTTTCTTTTTTTTTGAAAAATTTCCAAAATACACATAGAATATAGAGCTTTATTCATTCTCGCCTAAGTTCGCTAAATTTTATATAATTTAGTTTGATTGATTTTCTTATAGGTGGAGTGTTTTATGTTTTAATTCATTAATAAACCAGTAAGGAAAATGACTAGGTTTTTGTGTATGAACTGGAACATAAATTGAGATACCTTCCTGAATTATGTCATAGAAGACTCTGATTTTGTTGTCTAGGAAAAGTGATTAATACAGATTAGACCAATGGATGTCTGCACGACGTTCGATATTACTTGTGGAACTACTTCTAACTTTCTTAACGAATATTAAATGAGTCGTCTAAAAGTTCCCCAGCATGGATGGCTGGGCGGAGCCATGATTCAGTGATGCATAAAGCATCAATACTGCTGATTGCTGTCGCTGTTAGAAAACTGCCGAATTTGGTGCGTAGTTCTCTCACGGTCTGTTAATGAATTTTTTCTTTTGATTGAGCGGACGAAAATTCTTTCCAACTAGTTTCGAAACACCGTTAACATATCTTATTGTTTTAGAAGTATCGCTATTTTTCACCAGTGTATCTAGCTGAGAGCAGAGGTTCTTGAGATGTGTCAGCTTAGCAGTAAGATCAGATTTAAAAATCACTTTGGCAGATCCATCGACAGGTTTCGGCGGTTCAAACTTTGGTATTGTACGAGCAACAGAAGAAGGTGGAGCCTTAACTAGTAGTGACCTAGGCGACAAAGTTTAAAACTGTGTATATTTGAAAATAAATCAGGAGACAGTATAGTCTGGATGACGGTTCTACCCTCATAGAGATGGTCTTTACCGTCTGCTTCTTAGATTATTTATTATTCAGCATAAACAAATTCGACTTACGTGTTTTACGTCCAAAGAACTCCACGATAGTTTTTTCTATTGGTGCTGAAACAGTAGTGAAACACTTCAGCTTATTTTATAATGTTAGTCTGTTATTAAGTCCGAGTTTGTTCTGATGAGTTAAGTTTGTGACATCCTTCCTAACATCTATGATTTTCATTTCTATGGCCGACTTAAGACAGTTGAATTTATTTTCAAATGACGTGGTGAGCTTTAAACATTGGTCGTCGAGCAGACATTTAGGCATATTCATGGTAATGCTATCATCGTCGTCACTTTCAGTGTGACGACACTAACTTTCAAATTGCAGGAATCACATTTCCAAAGA